CCCCCCCCCCCCCCCCCCCCCCGACATAGCCGCCCAGCATGGGTCTTGCGTACAACACGTATCTGGACAGCAATAAGATCTACGGGTGCAAGAACTGCAAGGCGCACCTGGCGAACCATGAGGACATAATCAGCCGCGTGAGTGTTTTTGTCTTTCCCCCGGGGGGTTGATGGTCCTCTCTTTCCCCATCTGCTGGGTTCCTGCTCTGCTGACATGGGATCTTTCGTCGCGCCGCAGAGCTTCCGCGGCCAGCACGGCAAGGCGTACCTCTTTAACAGTGTGGTCAACGTCGACGCCGGCGACCCCAGCGAGCGGTCCATGACGACGGGCCGCCACATCGTCCGCGACATCGCCTGCAAGCAGTGCAAGGAGACGGTCGGCTGGAAGTACGACAAGGCCTACGAGGCCAGCGAGAAGTACAAGGAGGGCAAGTTCATCCTCGAGGCCGAGCTGCTCTGCAATGTGAGTTAGTTGGCTTGCTGAGGGAGGGAAGAAACCCAGGCGCAGGGGCCTGGCCGTGGACGTTCGGCGGTGGTGGTCGTGGTCGTGTGTGGCATCTCTTGCATTTGGCTCGGCGTTGTTGGACTTGGTTTGTTTTGGGTTAGGGACACGGCAGCGAAACTTGTTTCTGGGAGGTTTCTGGATTCCGGGATGTCATGTTTCTACGGTCATGAGAAAGGGGCAGATCTGTTTAAGTAGGCGGCATGGGCCAACTAACGTTCTCCCTCACGAAGTGGTGCGGTCATATTGCTCCAGAGTGCATTGTCGAACCTATCTTCCTGTTCGAGGCGTCTTCCTTGTGTAGGAGGTACCTCCTTCTGTTTAAAGACCCCCCCGGACTGTTCTCTCTCCGCATTTCTTTATCGACTCTTGGGTTTCAACCCGTTCCTCTCTTTCCTTGGCAGGCTCCATCTTTATACCGTCTTTGGCTCTTCCACCTTGTATAGCAGCAGCTTAGTATTGCTTGGGCTGTCCCTTGATGTTGCGAAGGCGATGTACCTCGCGAAGGTGGCGGATAAGGTTGTGCCGGTTGCTGAACGTCTGGTTGCAGTCCACTTCGCCGCAAGGCAGACCTCCGCTCATGTCCGCGGTTGCGTGGCGCTGGTACGCCGAGTTGCCGTTGTGCTGCCTATAGGGGTGGTCACGCGAGTTAGTTTAATTCAAGTACAAATCTGTCAATAATCGAGGGGGGGAGAGCAGCCCGGTATCTAAAGAAGACAAAGAAAAAAAGTGAGGAAGGGAGCACCTACTTGGAAACATGCGAACGAATGTTGTGCGCTTGGTTCTTCATGATGGCGCTGCACTGCTGGCTCTGGTCGGTGAGCTTCCGGTGGCCGCAAACGAAGCTGCCACGGTAGTAACCACTAAGGATCACGCGGCCCGGGGTGTCCTTCACGGCAGGGGTCTCCCTGATCACTGTGTCCTATTTGCAACCGTGAGTAGAGCGCCATGGGACGGGTCGAAAATCGTTCTCATGAAGACACGAAAGCCGGGGTGTGAGAAAGGGTTACGTACGGCTGTCATGCCCGGGATTTTGAATCCAGCGTTGCCGCCCGGCGCCGCTGGAACAACTGAGTCAGGCAATCCCGGAATAAGCTTGCCATGCGCGGTCCCGTCGGAATCGCCCATCATGTCGCACTCCAGCTGAACCGGAGCCGGAGCTGGAGCCGGAGAGGCCGAATCGGCGGCCTGCGCGGTACCAAGACTTCCGTCGGAGCCGGCACTGGAAGTAGGGATCTAGATTAAAGTATCAATATGTGGCAGCTATCAAGACGGGATCCATAGTGATTGTTTAATGAAAGGAGGGACAAAAGTGAAGATGTGCTTGACGCGACCTTGTCCTGCCTTTGGTAGAGGAACCAGTCCAGTTCTTGGTGAACACGAGAATGGGGAGCAGAGAAAGGCGAAGAGATAAGAAGATATGGAACACTTACTGAGGATATCTTCAGCAGACCTTGCTTTGGTAGGCGTCGGTGGGTGTTGATAGCTGTCGGTTACTGCTGATTGCTGTTGTTGCAGTCATCGACGTTGCTACAGGCAGCGTGGGAAACGAAGACGCGTTTTTATAGCAAGGAATATTTTGGGATCACACTGTCCTTACTACTCACCTACGCACGATTTTGCTCGAAGCACAAATCAGGCCGATCGATTGTTTGCTTGAGGAGACAATCCAAACCCAATTTCCGTGCTATCCAGGTCATTTCATCCATGGGTGGTGAGCTCAATAGCAACCCTGTGATCGGCTTTTGACTGCCCAGTGAGGGCAGATTGTTCTGGGACGCATGCAGAGTGATACGAGCAGCCAAATTGAGTCTGCTTTTGCGTACCAAGCGTGTTTCAATGTAAAAGCGGACCCAAGATACATACATGGAGTGTCATTAGTACATATATGAAGGGCGGAGACCTTAGGTAGCAGAGAAGGGTTAGGGGGCATCGTCTCCAAGCTGGTGTGTAAACTTTCGTCAGCGGACCCTGAGCACAGCGAGCTTCCAAACCGTCAACTCGTCTGCGCAAGCCTCTGGGCGGATCCTGAAAATTATCGCCACACCGTGTTAGGTCTACGTTATTGAAAATATCGTATCTCGTCACAGCGATCCCTAGCATGTGTGTCTGGATAACTGATAAAGAAAGGAGATATTATGAATGTTAACACTAAGGGGTAACTGAGATGAGAAGATAAAAGTGGATGATATCTGTATCTCCTTAGGTTACACACGGTGATATGCGACGTGGGTGGTGAGCTTTTAAGCACTGGATCTCGACTCATTGACACTGGTTGTTTCTTCGCCCCAAGCCAGTGTGCAGGGAAGCCACAGAGATGAAGCCCGTGGTGCCTGGTCGATAGCATGCGAACAACAAGTTGAGTGCATCCGAGGCAAGTTACGTACACTCTTCAGAGTTCCAAACGAGAACCAAGTCCTCTCTGAATGAGGCTCGTCTGCTCACCTTCCGTCTCGAATCTTTAGTGTGATTCATCATCATGCACACCTCTTTGCTAATTCTCATAGTACCACTGAATTGACATGAGGACCGTAAGTGCTTGGATTATCATGGGTACTGGCTCCTATCGTCAGAGTGCCTTGGATGAGACTGATAATGAGACACGGTGTGGAGACCATCCTCTTAGTTTCTCTCATAGATATCGAACTTTTCAATTCCGCATCCTACGTTGAGACCTTTTAATGGGGGGGTCGCGCTCTTTATGCTACCAACTCTATTCTGCTGATTAGGAATCGGATAATTGGCCGCGACACATCCGTAATAGTACCGCGAGCAGGTAGTTGTCAGAAGCAAACCGCCGGACAGTCAAACACTGCAGGTAAATTGGGTATGTTGCCCTTCTTCATGGCCGGCGAACTCTCTTGACATCTTCCTTGGCTGTCCAGAAGGTATTCTGAGTCCCTTGAACTGGATATGGGCTGGACACGCTTGAGACTGCTGCAATAGTTACCCATGCAAGGAGAGCACATAAGACAAACAGAGAGGGGACAATTACCTTTTTGAGGGTGGGCAGTCATCTATTACTATTCCATTTACACATATTCTCAAGCGTGGTAACAGAAAACCGGCGAACAAAGTTTGCGGGTTGAGCATCCACTGTACACAGCTCGGGCACAAGGTGAGATCTCACTGTTGTTTTAATAGAACAGTCATCTGCTTGGAACGGGTATCAAAAATCTAGCTCAGCATTGTGGTATCTACGATGGCCTAAGAACAGCCACTTCAATACCTGCAAGTTCTTATGGAAAAAGTCGCTCTCTGCATACCAGAGCCCATGTCTAGCGGCGACAATCATTACGCAGTATGCTCAATGGGTGTCAACCGACGACCCCGACCGAGTCATCAGATCTGGATCTTGATTGTCAGAAGCTGGGTAACAGCATGATCTGGCAGGGATAGGAAAGAGCACTATGGTATCAAATTTGGAGGCTGTATCTTCAGGAAGAGAGATATAGAAAAACCATTGAGACACATTCAGATACTGAGCGTAATCTCTAGACTTGCCGGGCTCGTTGACGGCTATGGGCTTGTAGGCAGTCGCGACCAAAGCAGGCATCTATTATCCTGGGTGACACGAGTTAAGGATCATGCGTTCTCATGTACGTCCACATGCATGGCGGCCTTCGAAGCCTTTCGGAGGCATCGGTTCTCTCCTTGTACTGCTCCGTGGGCTGATATGCCACGGGGTGTGTGGCCTCTAGGCACATATGTCTCGACGAATGATACACCTTTCGATACTGGCAAATATGCCGGGCATGTTCACGGCTCCCATTGCTACACTCTTGAATCTCGTGACGCATTACCCGGGGCGAGAGCACTTGACTATGGTGACATAGAAGGAGCTGTATTGGTGTCCAGGTGTGTTGCATGGCACTTTTCATGGCCCTTTTGATGGCCCAGGGCTCGCAAAGTATTGCACCCCGCAACTTTCATCCTATCATATCCTTGTCTTTCGACGTGATCGCGGGCTGGACGACTATACAGGAAGCTACGACCATCTGGGTTAATGTGGGATGTTGGTTCCTCGGGTGTTGGTCGCTGTCATCTACGACTCCGCCCCACAGTCCGACCTTCTCTCTCACCTTTCCTTATTTTCTTCACACCGCAATCAGCCCCATGCAGTGCAATGCCTTCCTCGGAACAAGGTCGCAGCGGGCGTGGTAGTTTTCCTCTGCATAACGGCTCGTTCTCGTCCGCTCGACATAATTCGTCACTGCCTATGCAATGCATAAGTCGTGGGCGAATAACAGCATCTCGCGGAAACTTGAAGGCCGGCCAGATCTTTCCGCGAAGCTCTCAAGCCGGCGCCACCCACTCATGGCTCGGAGCAGTACTAACATGATGTGACGATGGGGCCGGAAATGCACAATGCACGACATTGATCTCCACCAGCTGCAATCTCGGCCAACTTTCCCTGCATGGTACTGCCGAATTCGACAAACCCTTGCGCGGCGCTCTCGATTGGGTCAGGCTGCTGCCGGAATAAAGTGGTTGGAAACTCGCATTGCATACAATCTGCACCTCTGGCAGTAGCCAATGGCTCTTTGATGCAGTTGGAAAGGCGATATTGGCCGGAGTCTTCGTGCAACACTCCTTGTATTGATCCGACGCGGTACGATAAGCAGCATCATCGTGGTCAGTTGACTTGATTCCGGCCCGCTCGGACGGCCACTTGCCTCGGCCAAGGTGTGATGGTCTGTTTCGCTCGCGGCCGTCACTGATTAAGTTTGTTGCTGCTGAGCGCCACGACACCCCGGCATATCCAAACTGGGAATAGAAGTAGCGGTCTGGATGCAGCCTTGTGAGCATTCGCTGTGCCTTTCAAAAGTACGATCCAGCTAATAACATAATGCAGGTCAGTTGTCATAAGGCGGAGGGAGTGTCTTCTCGACATGTGAGCCCGCTTCTGACCTTGTGCCCCCGTATCCCGATGAGTTGGAACTTTTGTCCCGGCCATTTCATTTGTTTCTTAGGGTTCATTGAGCGGCTAAGGCGCTGTCAACGCCCTAGTGAACTCGCCTGATTGGGCCTGCTCCAGGGTGGACGCGCTTACGCTCGACTTAGCAGCCGCGAGGACTATAAGAAACAAACAGTTTAGCTACATGTCCATTGCCGATATCTGGTTACACGTCTCGAACCCAAAAATTAATATCATTGCCTTCGTCCGCCATACGAACGATGTTTTCGGCAATCTGAGAATCTGCCAGCCCCTCAACTCGCTGCCTGCTCTGTTAAGCATGCGGCGGAACGCAACGACGGTGGAGCCATCTCGCAGAATTATGGGTTGTCGCCTCATATCACACACATCATGTCTTTTGACGGGTGTTGTCTCGTCTATCAAGGGTACTACCACATTGAATATTATCATTGGAGCCCTAAAGTAGTCTGTAATCTAGCGAGGAGGTGATATAACGAAATGGGTATGCGCTGGCCTCGGTTGCCCGATGAGCACAACGGCGGACCGGCACGCTTCCGTTTCGAGGAACCTGAATCTGCAGACCAGTCGGGTATGATTTGGCCTGCAACCCGGCCAATTCGGGTCCTGATACGCCTGAATTTTCTGCATGCACAGCCCACCACACCTCGGATCATAATCCCATGGACACAGGCTCAGGTCACAACCAGTAATAGTGCCCTGTTCCTAGAAACAACCCTATTGGGTCTCCCGCAGGGGATCAGGTCGATGGGGATATTATCACGCATACATATCTCCTCACGGCGCAGTCCTTGTGTCCAGGGAACTCAACACGGTTTTTTTCTAATACTAGGCATGGCCCCCACGAACTAGGCCGAAAACATTCAACACGGCATCACAGCAGCTCGCCCAAGATGATTCAGACAGCAAAGATTCCCAACTTGATCCGCGCTCAAGATTCGTTCATGCCGATCGATTCGAGGGGATTTCTGTCGAATTGTGCAATCAAAAAAGACCGAAACGTCATTTCTTGCGAAGATGTAAAAGAGCCCACCAATACAGCCGATGCCGATATTGAAGAAGCAGTCACTACCAGTCGACCACTGGCTGTGAGGGGTCAAGGAAACTACATGTACCTGGATGATGGCCGCGAAATATTGGACTCCTGTGGTGGTGCCGCCGTGGCTTGCCTTGGACACGGGGTACAAGAGGTCATTAACGCCATGATGAGCCAAGCGGCTGATATATCCTATGTTCCATGGGGATTCTTCGAAAATAGAGCTAAACTAGCTTTGGCCCAATGGCTTTCCAGAAGCTCAGGGGGGCATTTTCAGAAGACTTACATAACATGCTCTGGTATGTCACATCGTTGAAGTTTCGGTAGAACTAACATGGTGACATTGATTAGGATCGGAGGCTGTCGAAGGAGCCATGAAGCTAGCTCGAGAGTACTTCGTCTGGAAAGGGCAGCCCCAGCGCGTGAACTACATCTCCCGTGAAGAGTCCTATCATGGAATCACCATTGGCTCTCTGAGTTTGGGTGGGCACCTGTCAAGGCGGGCACCTTTCGAAGACTTACTTCTGTCCAAAATATATCGCATCCCTGCTTGCAATGCCTATCGACAACGACGCCAGGGTGAGACAGATACGGCCTACGTCGCTAGGAAAGCGTTGGAATTGGAAAACATGTTCCAAAAACTCGGCCCGGAGACAGTTGTGGCCTTTATTGCCGAACCCGTAGTCGGAGCTGCGTCAGGCTGTATTCCATCAGTTCCCGGCTACATCAAGGCAATGAAAGCGATATGCGATAAACACGGGGCCCTGTTCATTTTGGACGAAGTCATGTGTGGCATGGGAAGAACTGGAACCACACATGCCTGGGAACAGGAAGGTGTTATGCCAGATATACAGACCATCGGCAAAGGGCTTGCAGGTGGATATCAGCCCGTGTCCGCTATCTTGGTTGGAAAGAAGGTGTTCCAGGAAATGGAGATGAAGAATGCAACGTTCACGCATGGCCACACCTACCAGGACCACCCGGTCGGGTGTGCTGCGGCCTTACAGGTCCAGCAAATCATTCAAAGAGACAATCTATTGTCGAATGTCCAAATCCAGGGAAACCTCCTTGCAAAGCTCTTGAAGGAGAAATTGGGTGGTCATCCACATGTTGGCGATATACGGGGCCGCGGGTTGTTCTGGGGCATTGAGTTCGTGGAAGATAAGGAAACCAAGAGACCGTTCGAGCCAACTCTGCAGATATCTCACCGTGTACACGACGCGGCCATGGCACCGCCAAACAACCTGGCCATATACTATGGCCAGGGTTGTGCTGGAGATAAGAAAGGAGATCATGTCATGATCATGCCTGCTTACAACATTGACCGCGCCACAATCGAGGTTATTGTGGACAAGACCGTTGCCGCGGTGCAGAAGGTTTTTGCAAAGCTCCATTAAGAGCGCAACTGATACGTTTTCCATGGTGTATCCCTTTCCACGAGTGTCTAAGGGTCAACGAGCGAGTAATGTGTTCATAAGGAGGAGGACAATGGGAGATTGGATCCGCATGCGCCATTATAAATGCGCACTTTGAAGAGAGATTCGGGAATTACTCCGCGTATAATATTGCTGATGTATCCTTTTGCTTTTGGCCCTAAACAAATCCCCTCTTTTTCACCCGTGCGTGTTCTTGGGAGTCCGTTACAGACAGTCTGATGCCGACGGGAACTTGGCCGACTCGCAACCCAAATCCGCAACCAATCAGTGACGACCCGAGCGATGTAACTGGGCCCGCCCTGCAGCAGTACCTAGATGCCGAAGTCAAAATAGGCTACTTCCATGGGTTAACTGCCAGCTCGCACCCCGGGCGCTGAAGAAAACGTGCATGCGTAGGACCGCGGGTACTGCACCCAGACGGCGCCCCGTCGGCAGGTCTGGCCCCAGTAGAGTGTCTGCCTGGCCGGGTCACAGGCTCAAGGCGATCTATTCGTCCGAGTATATGCAGACCGGGACTTGATCCATCCCCTGCTTACTACTCGCGAGGTTGCCGGTCTGATTCTTCCCGGGTATTACCTTCAGGGTCAGCTATATGATGAAACTAACATGGATTCACAGTCGGTATCGAATGGTCTGATGCAAGGGCAATGTCTAGCTTCGTCATGGAAATTTATTGGGTACTTCATATCTCATATCAACTTGTACCCAGCATGCCCATCCTTGCCTGCATTACAGATGGGGGATCCAATCCTCAGGCAAGGGGAACCTATACACATCTTGGTGGTTTGCGACTGGCGAGGGTAATGTCTGCTAATCTGGTGCTACTTAGTGTTACCACCGATGCTGCACAATATTGCAGAAGCCATGTGCTTCTGCTTCCCTGGTTCTCTTGGTCCATCAGCGCTGATATGTAGCCTAGTCCAAGCCCACGACACAAGCTCAGCTCCTCCGTGTCCTTTTGGTGGCATGCCTTTCAAGCATCTTAGAATCCAGAAGTGGGGAATGTCACGGATTTGAGCTGCGCGTTCAAGTTGTAGCGGAGTGGTCTATCTTGACCGAATTGAAACCACAAACGGTCAAGATATAGGGTATATTTCAACCCATTGGCGCGTTCACGTCGTTAGAATTTGCTTGCGTATGTCGACCTGAGAGGACCGGTCATGCTATAACCGCCTGGGTGTGTAGTAAATAGAATTCTTGGCCACCAGCCGAAGGTGCTCTTGAATCCCGTAAATAAGTGGTTGTGTGACCCAACAGTGTACTGTGTACATCCTGCGAGCCGTCTCTACGGTCGGGAGAGACGGACTCTTCGGCTGCCATATCAAATCCCGTCTTTCTTGAGAGATACAAGTCGTTGGGCAGATGTTTGGCCCTAGTCACTTTCACCTGCGCCGGCGCTTCATCTTCCCACCACGACCACCACCGCCGCTGCCCTGGATCTCCTCGACGTCCCGCTTGCTCAGGCGCAACATGCCGTTGCGCAGCTTGCCGACGGCGGGGGCGTCGACGGCGCGGTCGCGGCTGCCGAGGCGGCGGTCACCCTTCTTGACCTTGGCGGCGGCGGGGCGCTCGAGGATGATGCCGTTCTCCTTGGCCTCGCGGCGGCGCTTGGACTCGCGGGCGGCGGCGGCGCCCTCGATGCCCTTGCGGTGGGCCATGGGCATCTTGGCCTGCTTGTAGATGCTGGCCTTGGACCCCAGGGCCGCCAGGCGCAGGTCCGTGGCCAGGTGGCGGTTGCGGCCCGCGTGCGCCGTCGTGTCGACGCTGGTCCCGATCAGCGACGACGACACCTTGGACGGGTTGAACAGGTGCGACTCGGACAGCAGCCGCTGCAGCGCCAGGTCGTTCTTCAGCAGGTCCGCGCTGTCCTCCTCGGTCGGCGTCGGCTTGGCCTTGGCCTTGCTCGCGGCCGACGCGGACGAGGCGAGCGACGTCGGCACGCGCGACGACAAGTAGGCCTTGGCCTCGCGTTTCGAGAGCGCCGCGGCCAGCGGGTTGGCGGTCGAGGGTTTGGTGTGGTCTACGACTTCGACTTCGACGGCGGCTGCCTCGGGGGTCTCGTCCGACTCCGAGAGCCCGTCCCACTCGTCGCCATCTGCCTCTTCGTCTTCTGACAGCGACAGAAGGGAATCTGCCCGGTCGTCCTCCTCCTCTTCACTATCGTCCTCTGCGGAGGCCGAAGACTTCCCTGGCTTGCTGTCGGGGAGCGGTGCGAACTGCGCCTCGAAGTGTCGGCGGAAGATGGCCTGGGCCTCCTCTTCCGAGACGGCGGGCTCTGCGGCGGCGGCAGACCGCGATTTCCGCTTGCCGAGTACGGTCGCCATGTCGCAGAATCTGAGATTGCGCCAAGAGCGTGGTTCGCGAGACGTCGTTACAGAATGTCTCCTGTGATGGGACGATCTGAAGGTCCTCGGAAACTTTTTTTTTCTTGCGTTTCGTAGACTTGGGCAGCCTCGTTGCACCCGCTGGAAGCTAGTGCTTTTCGGCCAATTAGCAGTGGTTAAGGTGCTGGGATATGATCAGGTACAGCAGTGCCCCGCGGCAGCCTCGCCTGATTTGGGGAGCTTTTTAGGCGTAACCCCACCATGAGATTGAGTATGTGGGTGAGTGAGGCTGGCCATAAGAGAGTTTATGAGAACTTCATCAATAGTCCCTATTCTGGTGAGACGGAACCATGACCCGTTTTCGCCCCTGTATAGACCTGCACGCAGGCCAGGTCAAACAGATCGTGGGCGGAACCTTGGACAGCACCACCGCCGAACTGAAGACGAACCATGTCTCGCTGCATCCCGCGGGGCACTTCGCGAAGCTGTACAGAGACAATGCCCTGACGGGGGCGCATGTCATCATGCTGGGCCCCAAGAATGATGAGGCAGCCACCGAGGCGCTCGCAGCATGGCCTGGCGGCCTCCAGGTCGGCGGCGGTATCAATGACCGGAATGCGAAGGAGTGGATTGAGAAGGGCGCTGAGAAGGTGAGCGAGCACACCATCCTGCCGTGACCATCGCCACCACCATAGCACCTCCCCAGGTTCACAGTGAGGCTGATAGATTGCCGTTAGTAGGTCATCATCACATCCTACCTCTTCCCAGAGGGCAAGTTTAGCCAGGACCGGCTTGACGCCGTCCTGAAGGCCCTGGACGGGGACAAGAACAAGCTGGTCATCGACCTAAGCTGCCGGCGACAGGGCGACGACCGCTGGTTCGTCGCTATGAACAAGTGGCAGACCATGACGGACATGGAGGTCAACCAAGGTAAACTGCCCATTTTTTTCTTTACTCCATACTTCATATATATCACACGGGGTCCCGTGTTTCTCCGTCGGTATCGGGCAGCCAAACTAATCTCCGGGGTTTCGCTCTTGCGCCCGCAGAATCCATCCAGCAGCTCGAGCCCTACTGTTCCGAGTTCCTGATCCACGCGGCCGACAACGAGGGGCTGCAGAAGGGCGTCGACGAGCGGCTGGTCGGGCGGCTGGCCGAGTGGTGCAGCATCCCCGTGACGTACGCGGGGGGCGGCCGCCACCTAGAGGACCTGGACCTGGTCAAGCGGCTGAGCGGCGGCCGCGTCGACCTGACCATCGGCAGCGCCCTGGACTGCTTCGGCGGCGACGGCGTCAGGTTCGACGACTGTGTCCGGTGGAACCGGAGCCAGGAGTGAGTGCGGAGGGGAGGGGGGCAACGCTGGCTTCGTTTCGACTTGGGGAAAGGGCTCGACTGGAAGATCTGACTAGGGCTCACTGATTTGCGTGGACGAGGTTGCTGCCATCACAGGAGGTAAATTTCCTCGTCACCCAGAGCGCCATTGGCATACGACTACCAGGTTTTATGTTGGGAGACTCGACGTCATATGAGACAGCAGACAAACAACATTGCTCTGATAGGTATTTGAATAAACCCTGGCAACAAAATTCCTAGAAATTCGTTAGGATGTATGTGGTCGTCAACCATGTTCATACATGTATTGTAGTACGAATGCAACCATTAAAATTGGCACATTGCACTGTAAAAGACATCTAGTATGTGTGAACACATCAACATTTCTATGAATCTCTCAATATTTTACGTTGTTTTGATCCTCGTTCGTGATCTTTCTAGGTCTGTTCGACCCATCTCGTCACCTGTCCTGCTCTCGTGCGATGCCTGGTATCATCTGCGGCTCGCCTGCCCCGTCCTTCCCCGACCGCAGTAACTACAAGGGAAATAAGTCTTAACAAAAAAAAAAAACCAAGTCAACAAGACTATATATACACATGGGTGCGAGGCCCGCCGCCCATTCCTTCCATCCCTTCGATCGGCCATGCAAGAAAAAAGCAACTCGAGTCCAAGGACGGGACCGAACCATGGTGAAAGAAAAAAAAGAAAATCATGGAAGCAGAAATATCAGCCGCCGCTCTATCGTCGCGTTTTGGTATCCCTCAACTGTCGAAATGAAATATGACCGAAAAACAGTGTCGTTGACTCGAGAAAAGAAAATGATGCGTGTGGGCAAGCCAGGTCAGGCGAGCCGCATTGCCCCTCTCTCATATGGCGACATCAGACGCCGCTCGTCTCCCACATATGCGACGAACCCAGTCCACAAAACCCCGTGATGCCAGATGCCCGCGTCGTTGGAAACCAACGAGCTAGTAGTTCGTGAAACCCTTTGGAGAAAGGAAAGAAAAAAATCAAGGCATATCCGATCATGATGCAAACCCGCTGGAAACGACAAGAATCTAAAATGACTGCGACCTCCTACATCATCGCACCGGCAGGCGTGCTCATGGTCATGGGCATGCTCAGAGTCTGGAGACTGTTGTAGGATTGTTGCGACATGGTGGTGGCAGGGCCGTGAGCCATGGAGTTGAGCGACGCCGGCATGTAGCCGTTCTCTGACGTTGGAGAGGCTTCCTCGAGGGAGCCAAGATGGTCCTCACCCGAGTACTCCTCCTCGTCCTCGCCCGACAGGGGGAAGCTGCCATCAGCGCCTTCACCGCGGTCGTGTGTTCGCTTGTGTCTGCAAGGAAAATAGTTAGTCTTGAGTCCCTCGTTGTTTCAAGCCGCACTGTGAGAGTTTGATGTTGTGGTTCGTGTTGTGACTTGGATTGCTGGTTCATAATTTCGCATCTTCGAGCTCGCACCGTACATCGTAACTCATCACAGGTTTCGTGCGTACAAAAGAAATATACATGTAGGAAAAGGTTGGGGTCATACTGTGCTAGGTTGTCGGATCTGGAGAAGGCCTTGCTACAATATGGGCAGATGTAGGGTCTTTCTTGTGTATGTGTTCTCACGTGTCTAGAGTTCTTGGTTAGATACATGCGCGGCGCAACACACATGAATGAAGAAAAGAAAAGTATCGGTCTTACCGCTTCAGGTGCTCTAGGCGCTTGAAGAGACGGCCACAAGTGGGGATAGGGCAAGAGTGCGACTTCTGGGGATACGGGCCGAGCTCCATGACCGTGGCAGATCGGGCCCGCCTGACGACGCTGGGTGCTCCGCCGTGCATCTGGCCACGCTCACTCATGGCGTCGCCGTTCATATCGTTGTGGCCCATCTGGAGGTAGTCCTGATGCTGGAGCGCCAACGGGTTGAGGGCGGGGCTGCCCTCGACAGTCGACAGGGGAGTGCCATGTCTCGACATGTCGAGCATTTCCTTGTGCTGCTGGCTTGCCATCGACATCTGCGAGTTGCTGTATGCCAGGCCCGGTGGCGATGTCTCACCATCGTCCTCAGCCAGAGGGCCAACGGACGCCGAGACGGATCTTCTCAACTCAGAGGGTCGGTGTGCGGCAGCCTGGACCTGAGCAGTGGCGGCAGCGATGGCAGACATGGAGGGAGGGATGGAAGAGCGACGTCTCCTCTGCTTGTAGGTCGGGGAACCTTCAATGACGGAGTAAACATTGTTGGCACCATAGGCGCGAGAGAACTGGGGGCCGGCCAGGTTGGACGGTGGCAGCTGAATCATGCCGTTGAGTCCGTTGACACCACCCATGTGGTCGGGAATGGCGGTGTACAAGCCAGTCTCCTCGTTGGCAATGTACGCCGGCTCGGCGCTCATGCCCATAGCCTGCTGAGGAGGGGTGATGGGCTCGAATGAGATGCCGCGGTTGCTGTAGTCCTCGTACTGCGAGGAGACGAAGGAGGGTGCTGGCGAGTACTCCAGGCCGTAGGCTGGCATGGAGGCGTGGCGCTGGTGGCCCTGAGCAATCGGGACTCCATTCTGGTTGTACTGGACACGAGCGTATTCAGGTTCGCGCTTGACCATCTGCTGGACTTGAGGAGGCATGGCCGGGGCCATCGCCATGGTCTGCTGATACTGAACCATCGTGTCCATGCCATCCGCTAAAGGGGCCATGCTGTGGGGGATCATCTGGGGAGGAGGCATCGAGTCCATTGCCCTCATCACTGGGGATGGTGCCTGGGACTGGGGGAAAGAGACCTGCTGGGCGTTGAAGGAAGATGAGTTGGCCTGCTGGGCCTTGGTGAGCTGCTCGTAGAGCGACTGCGACGAGTCGTACTGGAAAGACAGAGCAGGCTCGCTGACGGCCATGGTCGTGGCCTCCTGGCCCATCTTCTCCCTCTTCAGGTCTCTCTCCAGAGCGTCCAGGAAGAGGCGGTCATGGGGTACGCTATACCAGTAAAAGACCTTCTGCTTCTTTTGCGTTCGGATGCAGTTGTTCTTGTACAGGAAGTCGAGGAAGGGGCTCTTGGGCTCCTCGAGAGATGCATCAGTGCCGGACTTCAGATTTCTCAGGTCCGAGAAGATGCCCTCTTCGAACTTCTTGGAGTTCTTGACGGGTCGGCCAAAAGCCTGGAAGCGGAAAGACAGGCAGCGGACAATGTCGGTGCCGGAGATGTGGAACAGGTTGTTCCATAGCACACAGGAGACATATTCGCCGGTGGGGAGCAGAAATCTGCGAATGTACTGATCCGGCTGCCAGTCGACAGGGGCAGAAATGAGGAAATATTTCACTGCGGATCGTATAAGCTGCCTGCATTGCCATTTTTGCGGCCCACGCGAAGGAGGGCAGAATACTCACGGTTATCAACTTGTTGCAGAGCTACCTGCGCATCATGTGGTAATGCTTGTTGGGCCTCTGTGCTCAGCATGAAAGTCTCTGGTTTTTGGGGTGCGGCCGCCATAGCTGCGGACTGCGTGTACATTCTCTGTACAAGCGCGACTGCTGCTCAGCGGGACAGGAGGGTCCAGGTATACACCGGGTCGCTTACGCAAGGTAGAGGACCACGATCCACCAGGGTGGTGTTCTTGATTAGGTAGTAATGTAAATGGCGAAAACAATGACTAGTGGGTGCAGCGGCAAGGTGCTGCAGGTTCGTGGGTTTGGCTGCTGTGCTATGGGCTCCAAGGCGCTGCCTTTCCGGACAATAGCGTTCAGCAGTGGTGGGGTGGATTTGCTTTAGAAATACGTCGAGTCCAGCCCGCGGGTAATTTTTTGTTGTTTAGCACACGATGATTACAACGCCCCAATTTGCCTCAAGCGAATGGGTAGGCGAAGCCGGTCGGTGTGAACCTTCAAGGCGATGTAAGTTGGTCGAAAAAACGAGGCCAAATGATCCGATGCGATCCTCCGTCCGTCAGTGCGAAACTGTGCGCCGAAGTGCGGCGATGGCGTCGTGTCAGTAAGCGCGAACCCGCTGCTAGACTGGTGTCCTCGACGGCCCAACGCGGAGCGTGGAGCGGGGACGACGAAGGGCGAGGGCGAGAGTATCGAACCGAAACAGTGACGACCGGAGAAAGCGGCAGTGTGGTTCGTCGTCGTCAATTGACCGGCAAAACAGACAAAAATAATCAACAAGACTCTCCCGAGGACTGTGAGTGATGGGCCACGCCGGGGCTTCGGGGGACTGATGTCGTGGGTGAAGAGAAGCGTCTCGCGGGACTAGGTGAACTCTTTTTGAGGGGTGTGCAGCTCTCCGGAACAGATGATGGAGAGAGGAAGTCTGCAACACAGCAAGTCACGAGACGCGAGGGGGGGAGAGATGGAGAGAGAGAGAGAAAAGGAAAAAAGAGCGAGTATGTCTCGAAGTGAAGAATCACAAGAGAGTCAAAGGGCCGGGAGAGGTGGACGAGAGGTGACGGCGGCGGACCTGGGGGTTCTAAATGAATTCGACCCTCTGCGATGGGGTCCCACGGGTCTGGCTGGTCTGTCTGGCTGGTCCACGGCCTGCCACTACTACTTCAGCCCGGGTACCTTGACGAGAGAGAGACAGGACCGACCGACCAAAGAGATTTGGGTGGGAACCTGACCACAGTCCGGCTGGGCCCTGCTGGGCCCTTTGGTGCTTGGATGGTGGTGGAAGGGCCAGGGAAAGGATGCGCAGATGGGGTGCCACCCACGATTGGGTAAGTCTTGCCCACACACGGCCCTACCACACCAGAGTAATACAGCGGTACAGCGGTACATCCACCCAGCCAGACCAGCAGACCAGGTGTGCTTGATGCGGCGCGCGCAGAGCCAGGCCAGGGCATGTCGATATCCATCCATCCATCCATCCATCCACCCATATCCATCCATATCCCCCATCCCCCATCCCCCATCCCCCTCCCCATCCTGGATGGCATGGCAGGCATGGCATGGCATGTACTTTCCGGACGGTACCGCAATTCTGCCCGTTGCATGTACTCGCTGCCCGCACTACGCGCGCCGCCGGGGCCCAGGTACCTGACCGGCATGCATGCCATGCTGCTCGTCCTTGCCCGCGCGTGCGTGCGTGACCCTCTAGCTACCCTACCTACACAGTAGCCTACAGTAGTCACTCAGCCTATGCCAGATACATAATATAACAGCAGACGCCAGCCAAAATGAGCGGCTTCGAGCGGTCACTGCACAGAGCAGCCAGCGGCGGTAGTCAACGGTGTGTGCTTTTTTAGGGGACCACGCTAGGGCGCGCGGTCGCAAGGCAAGCCTCATCTGCTTCTTCCCTTCTCCTCCCGCTCTTCCAGCTCTTTTCCCTGTGCTGGACTGGAGACAGCGTTGAGTAGCAGCAGTAGTACTTTTGCCCGGCTTCGGGCCATTTTCTCGAATGGTAGTCCGTCTACCCTGTGAACAAAGCTTTAGTGGGGATCTGCTGATGGGAAAAGAACTGCGCTGCGCTGTGCAGTACATGCGAAAAGGGATCGCGGCATGGTTGAGGGTACATGCGAGGAGGACAATGCTCAAGCACCCTTGCTCCGCATCCCAGATCCTAGAGCGCCCCGAAGCGAAGATCGCTCGCTCGCTCTCAGCTCAGAGCTCAGTGCATGTCTGTCACCTGTAGCCCGTAGCCTGGGCGAGAGAAAGAGATGCGAGCGCGACCGAAAAGCGAGACATTGCACTGCGACACCCACCCATCCACCCACCACATCCAGCCCATCAGATCACGATACCCAAATATAGGCTTGAGCGAGAGTCAACGTCATTTGTGTCAACTGCCTAGCTGTCTGCCTAGCTCCGGCCCGATGCTTGCAACGAGCCCGTTCTCCAACTCAAATTTTTCTCCCCATCTCATTAAAGTACAGTAATGGCAATCGTCCAGAGGCTGATGGACCTGCTCAACCGTTGTGGGTTGTGTCACCGGGGGCCGGCGCCCAGGGATTGCTTTCTGTGAGAGAGCGAATGCTAGCTTGGGTAGGTACAACACATCAGCCCACAAGGATTCGTTCTGGTAGATTACACACGGCCCTTCTGGCTTGCATTCTCTCGCCAGGGGTGTTCTGCTGGTTGCTTGCTGAAGATGGTCAGGAACGGCCGGCTTCGACTTCTGCAATGGTAGGGGGGACCCAGGTTGCCCTTGGCGGGCAGCTTTTGCCAGCAAAATGATCGTGGCCAGTCGACCCGCTCCCAGTGTCACCGTCGTCGTTCATGCTCGCTCGCCAAGTGGATGCACTATGGCACTTCTGCTCGTGAGAGAGTCATGAAGCGAGGGCTTGTCATTTCTTTCGCATGCCACCTGTCCCGCCATTTGGGCGTCTAGCTGCTCCTCATCATCAGCAAAGGCGTAACGCTCTGAATTGTCCCATTCTGGCCGCCAAAAGTGGTCGCGCTCAATCAAAGTAGTGGTCCAGAATAGATCATCCCGCAAGCCCGCGAGATCGTGATGGGGACTTTTACTGGGTCCCCCGATTAGAGCCTGGCAGGGATTGTACCCCATCACGTAAAAACACAGCAGAAGAACTTTCTACCGTTCCGCGGTCAAAGCGGCAAGCCCGGCTTGTACAGGTACCAGCCACCAGTTTGTCAGTTGACTATGCGGTGTGCTATGAATAGCTGACCCAACTAGCCCGTCCTCTTGTCTCTCTGCCTTCACAAAGAGATCTCAAGGGACAGCCCAAAGACAATGTCGCGGGTGCTGTTCTGCCAACATGTCACTTGTCTGCAAAAGTATATCAATCAATCGCCCACAGAAGTCCAGACTGCACGCTGTCTGAGACAATGCTTTGAAGAAGTTGTCATCATGTCCATAGAAAACCCCACACTGCACAGAACGTAATAGGTAAGCGATGTAGTAGTATGCGGAAATTGCGCTGAGCCATCGCGCGGAAGGGGAGATTATGTAGAGACCAACTTCCAATGCTACGCAGACCGCTAGTCCCAACGGTTCTCCCGGTCACTCCAGTTCATGAGTCGACGGTGTCTTCTTTGAAAATGACACCCAGCCCTAGAAGTCCGCTAGAACCTAAGGCTGAACAGAGAAGTTGCGCCAGTGTGAAGATCGTTCAGTCATGCCCGTCGCGTGGATAGCAGACCGGAGAATACCATCAGAGATCGACCGCTTCGGGTCTGCTAGGCTGGCCGCTGTCAACAGTATTACGAAATGGCCGATCAGGTGAGCCATGTCAAGATGCTGATCCAAAGATCTCCAGGCTCTATTGTCGACTAGGCCTAAACTTGAGATCCGGCTATAGAGCTGTCTGCGACAAGAGACTCTTTTTGGGAGCGCATACTCTCTGCCTTACCACCCATAACCATTCAAACATATCGCCCGGCAGTATCGGTACTTTGACAGCACCGCGTGCTAGGCGCAATGATTTGTCAATTTGCGCCGCTGCTTTAGTCTGTCCTCTCCAGACGGGCAACGGTGGTTGTTTTTCTGCGCGTCGTCCCTCGTCCCCCGCCGTTGGGCGCGCACAATTGGCTAGCTCGCCAACAGGGGGGGTGCCGGATCCCTGTTTGTTTTAGGATTTCTGAAACCTAGCGCCAGCTTTTGCATGGGCTTCAGAAGCGATGCCTGGTTGCTGTTCTGGGACTTGCATCCCATCCCATCCACTGCCAGCCATCCACCATGCAGCGCATTCTGCTTCCCGCGTGAGCCCATCGAGCAGCAAAAGTTTATTCCGTCATCCTGGCAAGCCGGCATAGACGCTGGCATGGCTGGGATGCCCGCCCCCTCTTTCTGGACGAACCACAGCTCCGCGCGCCGTGGCTCTCTCTATGCACTCTGATCATCTCCAACCACTCGATGGCCGACGTGCATAGTGGTTATTATCGCATGGCTGGGGGGAAAGTCTTGCGCAACCTGCAGATTGCTGTGGCTTAGGAAAGTCACAATTCTCTTGCATGGATCTACACCAGTAGAAAGCCAGGTACTATGGCTAGTTGCGTATCACGATTGTAGCAGTCGGAAGCCGTTGGACTGGAGCATCTTTTGTCCCTGCTCTCGCTGGAGGGGGGCTGTGAGCGACTGCCTATGGCCTCTCGACCAGAATTTGCTTCTCTTCTGAGAAGCCCAGAGTTTCCTTGGCCTGTAGCTATGCGCTGGACAATCCCACTTTGGCCCGTTAGCCTGCCGCTTCCAAACCAGATAACGGGCTTGGTTGTGCTCCAGGCCACTGGGTCAAACACGCAGCGCAGCATGCACACGTTGACGTCGACGGCGCCCGTCCGAATATCGTGGCAGCCGCTGTTGCCCTCCGTGCGTATGGCTCTTTGACTTTTTCGGGCGGTCAAGTGACAGCGAATGTCGAGAAACCGGAGGGCCAGCTGGAGATCACGGGCAGCCTCTACCGGCCCCAGGCCCGAACGTGCACACGCTGATGCATGCGCGAGCAAGCAGCTCGAGTCCCAAAGAGGTAGGCGGCCCTGTTTGATCGGCATTACCAGCATAAGCCGAAACTTGAAACCATCACATATCGCGCCTCGACG